TTTCTGAGATGGTACTGTTTTCATCAAGAGGATGAAAATCTTTTGTAGTTTTACCTTTAATGTTATTCTTCTAAACCAGTGATGGCGAACCTTTTGAGCTCGGCCTGTCAGCATTTTGAAAAACCCTAACTTAACTCTGGTGCCGTGTCACATATAGCAATTTTTTGATATTTGCAACCATAGTAAAACAAAGATTTACCTTTTTGATATTTATTTTATATATTTAAATGCCATTTAACAAAGAAAAATCAACCAAAAAAATGAGTTCGCATGTCACCTCTGACACACGTCATAGGTTCACCATCACTGTTCTAAACCATAATTAATATGGTCATGAAAAAAATTATACCATGTAAATCCATGGAACCCTGTTGCTGGTAGGATGTTTGGTAAAGGAGAGTGTTCCCTATGCTCTCTTCAAATAGTTTGAGAGCTATCTCCAAAACACTTGATTTCATTTTAAATAGAGAGGCAGTAGATCTAAAAGTAATCCTCTACATCCTTTACTTCTCTTTGGTTTAGATCTCATGTTTCTCAGACTTATATAAACTACCTTTTGAATCAACTCATTCTAATTTTTTAAAAATCCAATTTAAAAAGAAGATATAAAAGCTTATCCCTTTTAAAGAAAAGGAACTAGTATAAAACGTGGAGTTTTAAGGAACCTCAAAAGACCATCCAGTAAGACATCGGATAACTAATTTTTTAAGGATCCAAATAAAAATAAAAAGATAATTAAAAAATATGTATGATCAAAATTCAGACAAAAAAAAACTAAGAAGCTACTGAAAGTACAGAAATAGAACGAGTCAGTCCTAAACCTACCTACTAATAGAGAAAAGCTGACTCAAATGTCAGTACCACATACATGACCTACCCCGCGCCATAACAAATAGTTTTGCCTTAATTTTTCCAAATCAGTCTGTTACCGACTTCGTTCTCTTAGATTTAAATCGCCTCAGTACAGCAAAAACTGAATTAAGGTAAATGATAAAAATATGGGAAGCACGAAAAAACTTTTTATTTCTGTATCCCTTTTAAAGAAAAGGAACTAGTATAAAACGTGGAGTTTTAAGGAACCTCAAAAGACCATCCAGTAAGACATCGGATAACTAATTTTTTAAGGATCCAAATAAAAATAAAAAGATAATTAAAAAATATACTTATTATACCTGGTTAATATTAATGTTGGTTATTTTTTCATCGGCTCTTTCGATAACTTTCAGGACAACTTCAACCATTTCATAGTCATAGGGATCCAACTATGTAAAAACAAAAATATATCAAAACCCGAGAAGATGGTTACCTGGCTGGTAGTTGGTTTTATTCAGTTATGTTCATTAGTACAGAGGCTGCAAATACAAAATCTCAGTACACAGCAATGGTAAATTAGATTATTCTTTAAAAAACATTTTCTCACTTCTAAAATTAGTTCTGTTAGGATAAACATACATGCTTTAAAATGTCTCAAAATGCCTTTTTTTAAAAGCTGGATAAAGCAATGTTGTTTTAATAAAGAAAGAGATTCGTACAGGCCTAAAACCCTAAAAAGATAAACATATTAAAATTTTATAATTTTGAAAGATTTTAAAATTAAAATTCTATTTCTTCCATTTATGATGGGAAAATTAGAATAGAAGGAAACTGACCTTTTCTAGGAAATGAAATAACTAGAGTGTGGCCTCTAAGCAAATGTCTCCAAGGGTCCCATTCCAGCTCTAATCATACACAGACATGAATATTTAATTGGGTGGCATGTATATGTTCATTAAAAGGGAATATTCTCTTTGTTCTTTGTTCCTACTTACACATCATTAGTTTTTTTTTCTTCATTTTTTAA